TTTAAACCATTATCCCCAAAATATAATCCTACTACTTAATTAGCTCTATTTAAAAATTTTATATTATTCAATATAGTTGTGTTGTTCCTTCTTTCCTAGAAGGAAACAATTTGCCTATTCGTGTGGTCGGACCAAGTTCTTCTGATGGTCTGTACGTTTGCCGTCAGTGATCAGAGTAAATGAGCCATCATAAGGATGCAGAAAATATGGAGACTGCATGACTTGCAATAAGAATGTGGGAATAAGTGCTTCTTCTCTCCACATACAACTTTTAAAAAACGTGTTTTTACCAATGATTTCAGGGTAAGTTGGAGACATTTTGCTCCTTTCACATTCATTGCATTTTTAGAATAAATTACCTAATATTTTCTAAGGCCTTAGATGTGCTTAAAGTTTTGTCACATTTTTTTACCTTTGTAGGGTCTCTCTAATATAAATTCTCTTAGGCTTTGGGAGGCTAAGGCAGGTGGATCACCTGAGGTCAGGAGTTTTCGACCAGCCTGGCCAACATGGTGAAAACCCATCTCTACCAAAACCACAAAAATCAGCCCATATGGTGGCACATGCCTGTAATCCCAGCCACTCAGGAGGCTGAGGCAGGAGCACCACTTTACCCCAGGAGGCAGAGGTTGCAGTGACCCAAGACCATGCCACTGCACTCCATCCTGGGTGACGAAGTGAGATTCCATCTCAAAAAAAGGTTTTTTAAATACATTCTCTTAGGTTCATTAAGGTTTAAGGGCTGGTTAAAGGCTTTGTTACTTTTTTATGTTTATATGATTTTTGTCTCATATGAATTATCTTAGGTACAATAAAGGCTTGGAACTGGTTAAAGGTTTGCCAGTAATTTTTTTTTCCATACTTGTAGTAATTTTTTCCAGTATAATTATTTTATGCATTAGAAGGCCTGAGGACTGGACTTTGCCACATTATTCACATTTGTAGGGTTTCTCTCCGGTATGAATTATCTTACGATTAGATAGACCAGAGGACCACTTAAAAGCTTTGCCACATTCTTCACATTTGTAGGATTTCTCTCCAGTATGAATCCTCTTATGAGTATTAAGAGTTAAGGAGAAGGTAAAGGCTTTCCCACATTCTTTAGAGATTTTCCTCCTTTAACACTAAATGCTTCAGTCTGTATATCCTAAGAGCAAGAGCATTATCTTACATAACCATAGTACAGTGATCAAGATCAGGAAATTTGATATTGATAGACTACTAATATCTAATCCCCAGCCCATATTCAAATGTTGTCGATTGTCCTAACAATGTTGGTTATAGCCCAGTTTTTCCTGATCTAAGCTTCAATGCTGGGGCATGTAATGTATTTAGTTGTCCTATCTCTTTCAGGTATGGAACATTTTCTTGGTTTCTCTTTTTGTTTCCTGATTGATTGTGACACTTTTTTTTTTTAATTAGGAGTTTATTATTTTATTTTTTCTTCTTCTTTTATTTCAGTAGGTCTTGGGGAACAGGTAGTGTTTGGTTACATGGATAAGTTCTTTAGTGGTGATTTCTGAGATTTTGGTACACGCATCAGTTTACACTATCCCCAGCATATTGTCTTTTATCCCCCACTCTCTCATCCTTTCCTCCAAGTCCCCAGAGTTCATTGTGTCATTCTTATGCCTTTATGTCCTCATAGCTTAGCTCCCACTTTTGAGTGACAGCATAGGCTGTTGGTTTTCTATTCCTAAGTTATTTCATTTAGAATAAGTATCTCCAATTCCATCCAGGTTGCTGCAAATGCCATTATATATATATATCTGTATTTGCTTTATCCACTCATTGATCATTGGGCATTTGGGCTGGTTCCGTATTTTTGCAATTGTGAATTGTACTGCTGTAAAGATATGCATGCAAGTATCTTTTTTCATATGATGACTTCTTTTCCTCTGTGTAGATACCCAAAAGTGGTATTGCTGGATCAAATGGTAGATCTACTTTTAGTTCTTTAAGGAAACTTCACGCTGTTTTCCATAGTGATTGTGCTAGTTTACATTACCACCAGCAGTGTAAAAGTGTTTCCCTTTCATCCCATCCATGCCAACATCCATTATTTTTTGATTAAGGCCATTCTTACAGGAGTAAGGTGGTATTGCATTGTGGTTTTGATTTGCATTTCCCTGATAATTTGTGATGTTGAGCATTTTTTTGATAGTTTTTTTTTTTGCCATTTGTATATCCTTTTTTGAGACTCATCTGTACTTTTGAAAAGTGTAGGCTGATTATGTTGCGTAATATCCCTAAATTTAGGTTTGTCTGGTTTGCACTCATGGTTAGATTCAGGTGATTTAATTTTGATGGGAATACCACAGAGTCGATAGTGTATTCTCAGTACCTTATATCAGAAGGCACATGGAGTCTATTTGTTCCAATACTGGTGATGTTAACACGATTATCTTCCAGGTCTCTCCACCATAAAGTTATTATTTTATCTTTAAACTTATTAAGTAATTTGTGGTAAGATATTTTGACACAATGTAAATATCCTGTTCATCTAACTTTTACCTTCAACAACTACAATGCTGCATCAACCTAATACAACATTTTACCTATGGGAATCTATTGCCTACAAAACCCTTAACTGTGATTATTTTCTAACATCATTCCTCTATATTTAATTTTTGGCATCTTACTGTGAGGAAGAGCTTTCTATTCCTATTTAATTACATGATAATGAACTTGTACATTTTTATTTTATTCTGTGAATTATGATCAGTCATTTTTCATTTTGATGCTTTGAATAATCTGTCCTAAATTTAGCAATGGGAGCTTCATCAAGTGGGTGTCTATGACCCTTTGCTACATCTCTACCACTCTTTGTATATTTCTTAGTTTCTGGTACAATAAGATACTCTAAGTTAATCTTGTTCTTTCCCTATTCTAGTTCTGGTATTAGTTATCTTCACAAGGAACCACGTTTCCTTCTAGTTGAGAATGGTGTTTAGAAATGAATATCTGCGGCTAGGCATGGTGGCTTACACTTGTAATCCCAGCACTTTGGGAGGCCACAGGCAGGTGGATCACTTGAGCTCAGGAGTTTGAGACCAGTCTGGCCAACATGGCGAAACCCTGTCTCTACCAAAAATACAAAAATTAGCCCTGTGTGGTAGCACGCACCTGTAGTCACAGCTACTCAGGAGGCTGAGGCAGGAGAATCACTTGAACCTGGGAGGTGGTGGTTGCAGTGAGTCGAGATCATGCTATTGCACTCCAGCCTGGGCAACAAAGCCAGACCCTGTCTCAAAAACAGAACAAAACAAACTGTGATGTAGGATATGCTCATTACTACCAACGTTTTATTGGTTTATGATCCCTCAGTGTGTATATATTGAATAACATTTCTGATCACTTGTTGGGACAGTCAGTGATTTCTCTGTGTCTTTAAAAAGTAAATATTCTTTCCCTAATTTCTGGAAACTAGAAAGTAATTTCACTAACGCACAAAATGTGTCTTAGTATTGTAGGGACATCTTTTCTCTGTATTCTGTTAAGTATTTTACACCGAAATCGTTCATGAAAAAAAATCTTGACATAGCTATGGATTGACAAGAAGAAAGCGAATAGAAAACTTTGTTTTCTGAGTTTTTCCAAAGTCTTTTGGAGGAACGATGTGGTTCACTCTCTAGCTTTTTAAAAGTTCGATATAATTGGCTCTTTGGGACAACATCCCTGAAGGATCTGAAGTTTCAAACCTCTCTATATCTTAGCTGCTGAACTTTAAATTGTTTAGGGACCATAGGCATTCCCCTAAAAAAACAAATGATTTAAATTTACCTATTATTCCAGTGGCTATCCTTTGACATTTTTAGTTGTGGTGGTAAAAGTTAATAATTTTGAAAGAAATGAATTGCACTATTGATTTTTATATAACATTTAACATTTTAAAATGTGGATTAATTTATTATTTCTTGAACATAGTTAACTTTATGAAGTGCATCATAAAACAACATTTTATTTGAAGTTGGTGACAGGAAATTCAGATGGGAGGATCAATTCTTCTTGGCTACTGTTACTTTTTAAATAATAGCCCAGCTACCTGGGATTTGCTATTTTCTGATTTTTTTTTTCATTTAAAAACTTTTGTGCTTGTTAGTCTTAACAGTAGTATAAAAATTAAGCTTCTTTGAAGTAATCTTTTATAATAATCTAATAATTTTATTAGTAGAGAAATCTATTAAATATAAAATTTGGCAGAAAAATTTATAAGATGAAGGCAATTTTTAAGAACATGTATATTTGAAAATAGGAAAGACTCAGTGGAGAAAGAAAAGGTTTATTAAAAGGCAATATGAGTTCAGAAGCAAGGTAAGTTTCTGTAATAGTTTTTTGTTAGCAATGTGAAACGTAAGAAAAAAAATAAAACTTTAAGTTTCTGACTGCCCTGCTAGAAATCAGTTTTGCCCTGCAGTGACCCCTCTGTGGGTCACTGGATATGATCATGACAGCGGTCAACATTCTTCTCTTGCCAGTTCCAATGTTCTTATTTATAACTATATGCTCTGTAATCTGTTTTCAAAAAGATCTTATGGTAATCTTCCAAGGGAGTTTAGTTTCTGCATTTTCAGATATATGGGTTTTAAAGTATTACCTGGCTATAATTTTTAGAACTCTTCACATACTCACAATAATATGGGACTCAACAATGAATGAAACTGTACAGTGGATGTATTAGTATTTAAATGAGGGTGGCTTATACTGTGTGACATAAACTAGCTCTTAAATATAATTATAAATTAGTATCTACAATTTATAATTGTAATTTATACCTACTGTGTGCCAAGGATAGGTTTAGGAGCTCAGATTCAAGTATTACATATATATGTTCTTTTTTCAAATTCACTGTTATCTAAATTTTGTTGTGGAAGAATCAACTTATATAGATCAAACCTGCTTTTCCCCCTTACATCAATAAATATACTATCTTGTGATTTCTTATAGTAAAATTGCATTTATAATAGTAAAAATAAATTTGAGAGTATTTTTCTAACTAAATGAATATCACACTTTATTCATTTTTTTATGTCCTCAGATTAAATGAAGGGAATAGTACTGGAATAAATACAGACGAAAGAAAGAAAATGCGAGGAGAAAATTTCACCATTTGGAGCATTTTCTTCTTGGAGGGATTTTCCCGGTACCCAAGGTTAGAGGTGGTTCTCTTCATCTTCAGCCTTGTAATGTATCTGACAACGCTCTTGGGCAACAGCACTCTTATTTTAATCACTATCCTAGATTCACGCCTTAAAACCCCCATGTACTTACTCCTTGGAAATCTCTCTTTCATGGATATTTGTTACACATCTGCCTCTATTCCTACTTTGCTGGTAAACTTGCTGTCATCCCAGAAAACGATGATCTTTTCTGGATGTGCTGTACAGATGTATCTGTCCCTTGCCATGGGCTCCACGGAGTGTGTGCTCCTGGCCATGATGGCATATGATCCTTATGTGGCCATTTGCAACCCACTGAGATACTTCATCATCATGAACAGGCGTGTCTGTGTGCAGATGGCCACAGTCTCCTAGATGATGGGTTGCCTGACTGCCCTGCTGGAAACCAGTTTCACCCTGCAGATACCCCTCTGTGGGAATCTCATTGATCACTTCACCTGTGAAATTCTGGCAGTGCTAAAGTTAGCTTGTGCAAGTTCACTGCTCATGGACATGATCATGCTGGTGGTCAGTATTCTCTTGTTGCCAATTCCAATGATCTTAATTTGTATCTCTTACATCTTCACCCTTTCCACTATTCTGAGAATCAGCTCAGCAGAGGGAAGAAACAAAGCTTTTTCTACCTGTGGTGCCCATTTGACTGTGGTGATCTTGTATTATGGGGCTACCCTCTCTATGTACCTAAAGCCGTCTTCATCAAACTCACAAAAAATAGACAAAGTTATCTTGTTGCTTTATGGAGTGCTTACCCCTATGTTGAACCCTATAATTTACAGTTTAAGAAACAAGGAAGTCAAAGATGCTATGAAGAAACTGTTGGGCAAAATACCGTTGCATCAAACACATGGATGTCTCTGATTGGGTCTCTATGGTTTTACCAGAGCTGTGCCCCTGGCAGAGCTCACCAGAGAAATTCTAGACCACATACAACCTCTTAGAATTCTGATGGGATCTTATCTCTATGTAATTTCACAGTTATGAGATGCGTACACAGAGTGATTGCCTATTAACAATAGTGGTTTCAATTTGCATTTGTTCATATTTCTTTTTTGTGTTTTGTGGTTGTGAGGTTTTGAGTTGTAAAGTCATCAAATGTGTGCTCCTGAAGAAATCTTGTATATCTTCTGTGCTTTAATCTTTTCTCAAATGAGGTGAGAGCATAAAGAAACAAATAAAGACTGGCCTTGATTATGCAACTAAGAAAACAGAATTTAAAAATGTAAAAGACTAGCTCAACATCACACAGTTGTAGAACTGGGACTATGACCTCCTTCCAATTTCTTGGCCAGAGGTTGTTCTACCACATCGTAGTGGCTTTCAGATTACCCTTCATTATTCAAAACTCCTGGTTAAAATCCCTTATCTCCCTGAGTAAAGCATTCAATGATGCCTACTTGATTTTTCCACTTCCAACCTTGCTTTTCTAAGCTCATAAATACTTGTGCGAATTATATCTGCTTTTATGCCAGCATACTACCCATACACTAACTAAGTCTTTTTCACTTATGTTTGTCTTTTTTCTTCATTGGATGATTGACTTCACAGGGACAAGTGTTCCTGTTATTTTGTACCTTTTCTGTTTACAGCAGTCATTCAGTAAATTAATACATTTGTCAGCTTTATACCAGTCACTTTATTTGAGAAGAAAGTACCACTTGTGAAAATTATAAAGACGAAACAAGGGCAGCAAGGTGTATTGCTTTATAAATATTTAAACATTATAGAGACAATGTTTATATTAGTTGTTTTAAATCTTTTATTCACATACAAACGTTGCTTGTTAAAAATGCCTTCACTCCCAGATATTCTGATTCAGTGACTCTAGGGTGGCTCCTCCATAATCTGTAGTTATAGGTGGAGCCTCAAGAAATTCTGATATAGATTGGGCGGTGACCATACATTGGGAGACATTATTTCCAGCAAAAATTTATCTTTCAAAAAGAGGCCAGGCACGGTGGCTCATGCCTGTAATCCCAGCACTTTGAGACGCCGAGGCGGGTGGATCACGAGGTCAAGAGATTGAGATTATCCTGGCCAACATGGTGAAACCCCATCTCTACTAAAAATACAAAAATTAGCTGCGCATGGTGGTGCATGCCTGTAATCCCAGCTACTCGGGAGGCTGAAGCAGGAGAATGGCTTGAACCTGGCAGGTGGAGGTTGCAGTGAGCTGAGATTACACCACTGCACTCCAGCCTGGCGACAGAGCAAGATTCCATCTCAAAAAAAAAAAAAAAAAAAAAAAAAAAAAAAAAAAAAAAGGAAAATAAAATTAATTCTTTTTTTCTTTTTATTTTCTTTTTATTTTTTTTCCCTTAATTCTTTCTGCCTCCAGGTGTACCTTCTTGTCTGTCTCTACTTCTAACGTAAGGAAGGGAAGAGGGTTTTGACTGGAGGAATGTAAACTTATGGGACAAATGAAAAATATAAAATACTTTAAACGTTTAGTATTAGAGGTTGAGTTTAGGATTACTTAACTCTTAGAACTTCCTTTAGATCTAGGACTTCTGTTACATGTTCCTAGATGTGTAACCTACATATAAAGAAACTTGAACCCACCTATAAAGAAACGCGAAACCATATAGCAAAATTTGGGAGATGAAGCAACAAATTTTTTTTTTTTTTTTTTTTGAGACGGAGTTTCGCTCTTGTTACCCAGGCTGGAGTGCAATGGCGCGATCTCAGCTCACCGCAACCTCCGCCTCCCGGGTTCGGCTAATTCTCCTGCCTCAGCCTCCTGAGTAGCTGAGATTACAGGCACGCGCCACCATGCCCAGCTAATTTTTTGTATTTTTAGTAGAGATGGGGTTTCACTATGTTGACCAGGATGGTCTCGATCTCTTGACCTCGTGATCCACCCGTCTCGGCCTCCCAAAGTGCTGGGATTACAGGCCTGAGCCACTGCGCCAGGCTATTTTTTTTTTTTTTTTTTTTTTTTTTGAGACAGGGTCTCACTCTGTCACCCAGGCTGGAGTGCAGCGGCATGATCTCAGTTCCCTGCAACTTCCGCCTCCTAGGTTCAAGTGATTCTACTGCCTCAGTCTCCTGGGTAGCTGGGATTATGGATGTGTGCTACCATGCCTGGCTAAGTTTTTAATATTTTTAGTAGAGGTGGGGTTATACCATGTTGGCCAGGCTGGCCTTGAATTCCTGACCTCAAGTGATCTGCTCGCCTTGGCCTCCCAAAATGCTGGGATTACAGGCATGAACCAACGGTGCCCGGCCAACAGTGGGACAAATTTGATGCCAGATATTGCTGCCAAGAGATGTTTGATAGTAGAGAATGGAATTAAGCTCCGAGTCATGGTTTTGGAATAGTAAGAGAAAACTGACTGGGAAGCATTTATCCTAGAAGTAACTGTCTTTCTTCCTAGATACCTCAATCTTCCCAATGCAACTGCCACAATCATTGCCTGGCAATTTCAGTGTTATGTTGCAGTGTAATTTTATAGTAGGCTTTTATTTGAGTAGAGCTAAATTTTATGTTATAACTGAATTGTCTGCTTCTGGAATTTGTTATGTGTGGTTCCAAACATAAACAGGAATAACTAGAGCTATAGAAATAGCAAAAGCTTTACTTCAAAGAGGGAACTATGAGACCTTGGAGACACAGACCAAATACTCTCTGTAGTCAGTCTGTCAGCTTTGACACAAGAAACTGAGCATATTGGCACAGAACCAAGTATTTTAGAATGGGATATGGACCAGAATGGAACAGCAAAACAGATGAGAACCCAGATATCAGAAGAGGACCCAGAGAACCTGGGTGAGAATCTCCTTGAAGGTCTTGGTTAAGACATTAGTAGTTAAGCTATATGTTCCATAACATTGCTGTGTACAACAAATATATGTGTGTGTGTGTGTGTGTGTGTGTGTGTGTGTGTGTGTGCACGCGCTTTATATATGTAACATGCAATCATAAAGTTAATTATTGGTAAAATGGTGCATTCCTTTCTTTGGATTAGATTCTATCTCAATCAACACTAATTTCAATTGTTACTTTTATAGAGCCTCAGATAAGGGATCCTTTTGAGGTACCGTTTAAGAGAGGAATATATTTGAGAAAGAAGATAGAACTACCTCTGATGGAAAACCAATTCCTGCATGAAGGATTATGTGACTAGATTTATGCTTTAGAAAAATCTGATTATGCCACTTCTCTGCTTAAATCCCGTAGCACTGTTTCACTGCCCTAACATTTTAAGTTCTTAAGATGACATGCAAAAACTTTCATAATCTGATTACTCACCATTCATATCTTTTGCTTTAAGCACCAGAATTCTCTTGTTTCATCATGAATATGTTATGCTCTCTCTTGTTTCTTTCTTTCTTTCTTTTTTTTTTTGAGACAGAGTATCACTCTGTCACCCAGGCTGGAGTACAGTGGCACGATCTCAGCTCACTGCAACCTCCACCTCCTGGGTTCAAGTGATTCTCCTGTCTCAGCCTCCCAAGTAGCTAAGACTACAGGCTTACCATGCCCCGCTAATTTTTGTATTTTTAGTAGAGACGGGGTTTTACTATATTGGTCAGGCTGGTGTCAAATTCCTGACCTCAGGTGATTCACCCACCTTAGCCTCCCAAAGTGCTGGGATTATAGGAATGAGCCACTGCACCTGGCCTCTTGTTTCTTTATTTAATGAATAGCATTTATCATAATTTGTAATTCAATAATAATTTGTGGGTTTCCTTGTTTGATGGTTATGTCCCTCACTGGTCTGTAGGTTCACTGAGGCAATGACCATATCAATTTCACCTACCACTGTATACCCAGGACCTAGCACAAGTCTGGCATAGAGAAGACAGACATTCAGTGCATACATTTTATAAAAAATTAAGTGTTTACTGAACATAGTTTGAATAAAAATATACATGTGCTTCTGGCACCACTTCTCTTTCTCTGGCTCCCTCTTATGGCCCTCTTGTCCACTTTTAAGGCCTCTTGTGATCGGGCCAAACTCGATCATCTTTCTGTCTTAAGGTCAGCTGATTAGCAACCTTAATTCTATCTTCAACCTTACTTCTCCTTTGCCATGTGACTAAAATATTCATAGAATCCATGGTTTAAGACATGGACATCTTTAGGGGTCATTATTCTTTTTGCTACAGTTTGATTTCAAAATAAGTGCAGCAAGAAACAAAAACACTCAGCACTTTTGGATTTATGAACATTGATTCAGACCTTACTCCAATTCTCAGAGACCCAGAATGATAATGCAATGTATGTATCTTGCTCCGTGGCTCAGGCTGGAGTGCAGTGGTGTAATCATAGGTCACTGCAATTGCAAATTTCTTGGGGTTTCCTCTTCTGTTTTTTGAAATAATTTAAGAGGGTTAGTGTTAATTTTCTTAAATGTTTAGTAGAATTCACTAGTTAAGCCACTTGGTCCTGGGATTTTCTTTTTTGACAGGTTTTTGATTTCTAGTTCATTATGTTTGTTACTTACAGGTTGGTATCAATTTTCCATTTCTTCTTGAATCAGATTTGGTAGTTTGTCTAGTTTCCAAATTGGAAAGGAAGAAGAAAAATTATCTTTTTTGGTAGATGACATGATATTATGTAAAAAAATTTTAAACAAGTGACCAGAAAAAAAAAAAGAAAAAGAAACTATTAGAGGTAATAAATAAATTTAGCAAAGTTATGGGATCCAAGATCAATGTACAAGAACTAGTGATATTCCTATACATTAGTGAACATTCCAAATAGAAAAAAGAAAACAATTTCATTTATATAGTATCGAAAAGAATAAAATACTTAGGAATAAATTTGACCATGAAATGGTGAAACCCTGTCTCTACTAAAAATACAAAATATTAGCTGTGTGTGGTGGCGTATGCCTGTAATCACAGCTACTTGG